GCCTGAGCAACTTGGTTTTCTTCTATAACAAGGTAACTGGCTCTGGTGAGGGAAAGCAGTAGATCTGATGTATCAGCAAGGCTTTTGGCATAGTCTCTCATGACATTCTCATTAGTAAACTAAAGAAATACAGCTTAAGTGAAAGTACTGTTAGGTAGATGTATAATAGGTTGGATAACTATGCTTACTGAATAGTCACCAATGGGTTAGTGTCTAGTTGCGGGGAGGTATCAAGTGTGGTTCCCCAGGGATCTGTCCAGGGTATGGTATTGTTCATCATTTTCATTAAGTCTACAATCAACCAGATGAAATTCAACAAGGACATGCAAAATCCTGCACTTGGAACAGAATAATTGCGTGCACAAATACAGACTGGGGAATGATGGACTAGGCTACAGTACTGCAGAGCAGGACCTGGGGGTTACAGTAGACCTATGGAAGCCAACCTTACTGGCAGGCATGACACAAATTAAGTCCTGCCTGTGCCCTTCCTGAGAATCACTTGAATCCTCTTCACCTGCCTGATCTGCTACTCTGCTTTCTGCCCCCTCTACTGTCTACTATGGGTCAAACATAGAGGTTCTCCAGGGCACTTGTGATGTGCTGCAGGTTGGCCACCCCTGCAGTAGGCAATAAGCTGAATATGGGCCAAGACTGTGCTGATGCTGTAGAGGAAGAGAGATTACCTATAAGATCCAGGTTCCAAATCATGAAGAGGGCCCTAGAGTTGATACCAATGGGCTCCTACAGAAATGCAGGGAGCCTGCTCCGATGCACTGGAAATCCAGCACGTTGGAGCAGACTCAATCAAGTTTGCTGGAGTACCAACATTGATGCGCTCTCGCATGTCTTCCATATCACGTTTATCCGCGTCCCCATGCATTCCCATGCTGAAATAATGGTAGCTGGGAGCTTTGAAATAAAACACATTCTATGAGCTTTAGTTCAAAGCACCCCGCTGCCATTTTTTCAGCACGGGGGTGTGCAGGGATACTGATACATGTGACATGTGGGTGCTTTTAATTAGCACAGCTCGCTAATTGAAGTGCCCAGTGCCACATCCCAAATGCATGTAAAAATGCCCAATGGCTTGAATTTCCTCTTATAAGAAAATGGAAGCCAGTGCAATGTGTTATGAACTCGTCTTTCTGCTTTTCTAAGGAAGTAACTTGGACTAAAAAGGTCACAAATAATTAACGAAGAATAATTATTTGCCAGACCAGCTTACCTGAGGACATGATGGATTGTCTATCACCTGTAGGCCCTAAATTGAGACTGGATAGCTTTTTGAATTAAATATTTTCTAAATGAAACTCACTCACTTGGAGGTTATGCGCTTGATTCAGGCAGAGGTCAAGCTAGATGATCATAATGGTATCTTCTGGCCTTGAAATCTGTGAATACAAGGTTCTCGCCCTAACGTGAGATAATAGTTTTGCTCAGCCCAAGCTGACTTGAAACAAGAAAATAAAGCAAGGTTCAGAAACCATAGTGTAGAAAAGGACTGCCATCATTTTAAAAGGTGATCTACAAAGCTGTCTCCTGAATGTGTTAACCTTTTGACTACCTCAAGGGAAACTTAAGTCAGGAGGACTTCAGCTACACCATGGCTGGTTTTCAATTCAAGCAGATGCAAGTGAAAAAAATGCAAGCACCTCCTAAAGCATCAGGTACCCAGATAGACTTGGTTACCAATCCCAGAACCTTCCTCTTGAGAGGAGTTTCTGTGTCCTGTCAGAAAAACTTGTTACGCTAAAAATCTAGACTACTTCCTGTACAAGAAAAATTCTTATTTTGTCCTATCAGCATTGTGCTTCAAAACCTCACACTTTTTGATGCATTTATCCACACAACACTCTTGTGAGGTAGGGAACTGGTAAACTGAGGCCACCCAGGAAGTCTGTGGTGGAGCAGAGAATTAAACCTAGGTCTCCTAAGTCCTAGAAAGTACCCTAACCATTGAACAATGCAGCCTCTTCTGTCTTATTAACTTAAGAGGTGGCTTCAATAGAAGATGCTTGCACAGTGGTCCCCATGTCTATCCTCACCTTAAGCAAGTATTCTAGGGTGGTTATTTGTGGCTCTGCCAACACAACACTCAGCCAGTGCATTCAGCCAATGAAATATTTTCCTCCTGAATAGGGTCATAGCAAAGCAGGACAGGAAGAGACCTCATGAGCTACTCTAGTCCAGCGTCCTGCTCCAGGCAGGATCATGCCTGACTAAACTACCCTAGTCAGATGCTGACAGCCCTTTGTACCCCAGGCTGGAGTGTACCAGGACCCAAAGAAGAACTTCAGGGCCAACATTTCCAGGGTTGGAGATGCCACAACTTCTCTAGGTAGCCTGTTTCAGTGCTTGACTACCCTCATAGTTAAACAGTTCTTCCTAATTTCCAATCTAAATTTCCTCTGCTGCAGTTTGAGACCATTGCTCCTAGTCCTGTTCCCTAGGGCCACCAATCTCGTCCTCTCTATAATCACCCTTCAGTTATTTGAAGACTATTACCAAATCCCCCATCAGTCCTTTTCTCTGGATTAAATAATCCTTGTTCTTTGAGTCTTTCCTCATAAATTGTTTCCCAGGCATTCAGTCTTTTGTTGCTTTCTGCTGGACTCCTCCTAATCTGTTCACATCTTTCTTGAAGTGTGGGGCCCAAAACGACACAGTGCTCCAGGTGGGGTCTCACCAGTGCTGAACAGAATGGCTGAGTTGGTTTTCCCTTTTCTGCTGCTTTATGGGAGCTGTCCTTGGGATAGAGCTTCCTGGAGTCATTTGCTGCAGAAAAAGGGAATTCTCTACTCTGCACTCTGTAAGTTAGTTTGGAGATGGGATGACCATGGGCTGTGGACAAACTGCAGCTGCTCTCATGGACCCCATCTGTACCAGAGGCAAAACTCCCTTTCCTAGGGGGTGGCAATCAGATGCTGACAGGCCATTGTACCCCAGGACTTGAAGAGGTACTTGCAAGTGCAACATGCACTGGGCACATTAAGAGCACCAGCTGGATTTTTGTGTGAAGCAGTGATTCCCGAACTTTTAGACTCAAAGCACCCTTCCATAACTTTTTAGAATTTAGCCATACCCCATTTTTAAAATGAATATAAATATAGTCTCTTATTCATTATTATATCAAATGTAATATAAGTATGATATTTGCCCCTGTAGGTTGCCAGCAGTGAATGCTCCCCTGACTCCACCCAGCCACATACGTTTGCTTCCAGTGTGGTAACTGGATGCCTTGCACATGGCTCTAGGTCACCTCTGGGAATCGGGAATCAGCAAGCCAATTTCTGCCCTTAGTAACCCCAGGGCTGCCTGCCCTGAAATCCAGCCCAGGCGGCTGCAATAAACGTCCAGAGACACCTGAGGGCAGGACCTGGCTTCTGGCGCTGCCTAGCCGGACAGGATCAAATGACCAGCTGCACATGCTGCTGCATGTGTGGCGTGTAGGGTGTGATGAGGAGTGGGCAACAGGACACGGGGTCTCAGAGGAGATTGGCCAAGGGGTATCTGCTCAGAGTGGAAAGGCAGGTTGTATTGAGGGGCTTTGGGAAGTGGGGGCCAAGCTTGCTGGTGAGGTAGGCACTGGAGTTTGACAATCCCTGATTCACCCCAAGCCAGCTACTATGGTGCCCTTGATGGAGCTGATGTGGAGCCAGTTGGCGGTGTCCTTCAGGCCCTGCAGTGGGCTAGGCTGGGCCAGACCGGACAGGGGCTGCTGCTTCGGCACAGAGCAGTGAGGGAGGAACCTGTGTCACCTTCAAACATACAGACACCAGCCTTCCAGCCACAGACAGGTGTACACAGGCTAGGGCCACCAAGAGGAAGGGCATCCCACGACACCCTTTAAAGAATCATGTGGCACCCCAATTGAGAATCACTGGTATAAAGCATTGAAGCTACCTCAATAGTGGATGGCTTTGATAGTTCTGTTTGTCTGCCCTTGTCATCCCATCCTAGATATGTCACTGGTTCATTTCAAATATTACAAGCTAGTTACAAACCAGCCTCTACAGTGGCTTAAATGAGAAGATTTGGAGCCTGCTGTGCTAGTGTAACACATTAAGAGGCAATGGGAGGTGATATGCCAGTAAAATCAACCCAAACGGAGTAACAATTTGACAGTAAACAAGACAAGAATGTCTCTGTTCAGTTCTTTCGTGCCCATGCTGACTCATTTGATAGTGCTGAGATCCCATTGTCTTCCCTTGGGTACCACTTGCTGCATGGATTATGGTTACAGGACCCCTTTTGAAAGCATTGATGGTTCCAGGAAGTCCTAGCCCTGTCCCAGTAAGGGATGGGACCTCAGGAATCCTACTTCCACATGGATAGAAATGAAGGCTGTAGGGAGGGATGTGAGTTCTGCAGGATGGACTAGGCAATTGCTAAGGATGTACAACTATTGTCCTGGAGTCCATTCTGCTGCATTAGTCATTCCTGTCCCATGACATAAGCAGAGGCCTAGCACTAGGGGAGAGGTGCTGTTGGGCACCTTACAAAAGCAGCCTCGTGAGAATAATCATGCCAGTGCTGGGACTGTCAAGGAAGGATTTCATGTAGTTGCCTTGGGGACCCTTGTCGTTGCTGCTTCCCTGGGCCAGCTGAGGCAAGCTAATGAGGCAAGACTGGCAGGCTTGCTGTGCTGCTGCCATGTGTTTATATGCAATCTCCTCACCCTGGGGAGTTCAGCCTGGCAGCTTTCACCAGCACTAGCTTCCCCTAGAAAACACATCTCTGAAGTTTGCAATAGGTGCAGACAAGTAGTCAGGTTTCCATAGGTTAATATTAGCCATTTCACACTGTCCTCTCAGCTGGTACCACAACTGATGCTCGCACAGGCTGCTACGAATGCTTGAATATTGGGCATTCCCACCCCATTAAGAGTGGCCACACATGGTATTCTGGGAGATCAGCAGACCCATGTCCCATTTAGCCTAATAAGCCCCTTATTCAAAAAGCTATCACTTAAGAAACTGATCCAGGGAGAGGAGAGTTTACACAAGTTTATTCAACTGGTTTCTTACTTTAGTTCTACCGAGTGGGTGCTGAACAGTTACAAGCTCCTTCTGGTTCAATTACAGCCATCTAACAACAAAAAAAAAGACAACTTGGAAAAAAAATAAGAAAATCCACAACTTTTTCACGTGTCATTAAATATATTCATATATAATAACCATAATATATTAGTATGCATTGTAAAGAAACATTGCCCAAAACAGTATGCAATGGTCATAACTAAACAACATTTACAATTCAAGATATTAACAGAAATAAATCAAAAACACAGGTTTCCCGACAGGTCTGTGTAACAGGAGAAAAGGTGGGTGTGTGCAAGGGAAAACAGACACAAAATGTAACAAATTAAAATGAGACGAAACAACTTTTGTTCACTGCTACTAGTGAGTGATGATTGTTTTGGCATTTCAGCTGCTTTCCAGAATCACTTTGTAGGCACCGCAGCCCTTTTACCCTGTTACAAATTCTATGTTACCTTTCCTAAGAGTACCTCTGTATTGTTTTGCACTACTCAAGTTGCTGTAACATTCCACCGCTGTGTGTAACACTTCATGGTAAATGCAGGTGCAGGATCCTGAAAGACCCCTTGCCCCTTCCCTGTGCTCCCAGGAAGCTGATTTTTCTCTCATTGTCCATTATTCTTTGTTGACTCACCTGGAAGAATCAGATGACTTGTTTCATTGCAATGGAAGGCCCTCAGCTTAAGGTGGAGAAGTACAGCATATGATTTAATTAGCCGATAAGCCACCAAACCAGCCACAGATCCATTTGCTTTTAGTCAATGAGTGGACGTTTATAAATTCCTTGGTGGCTGCCTTATTGTCATCTCCACAGTAAGATCTGCCAGACCCTTCAAAGGAACAACTGTGGCTATGGAAGTTACTATTTAGCAGGTGAAATCCTGGCCCAGTTGAAGTCAAGAACCAGGATTTCTCCTTGGATGCTTGTTCTTAAACATAAAGAAGGGAGAGGGCCATAGGAAATAATTACTTCACAAGACACCCCAAAAGTTAAACTGTTTTATTCTAGTTCACTCAATGGAAACTGAGGTTGTATATGTTACACATGCTCATTATTCTGCATAACAGCTAAAGAGGTACTTGTTAACTGCAGAAAGAGCAAAACAAACCCCTCAGGCCTGCTGATAAGTGCAAAACTTCAACAAAAAATGTTATTTCATGCTAGTCTTGCATGTGGGTGGGGGCTTGTTTAACAAAAATCTACAATATTACATTTCTGGTTAATAATCAACTTTCTGAGCTCTAATTTGTTTTACACTTTGTGCTACCTATATGGACAGCTTCCGGGATTGCTTATTTATTTATTTATTTCCCTCCTAGTGTGTGGGGTACCAATAAATGCCCCATTGCAGCTTTTCAGAATACAAGCATCTTCTGTTGAAGAAGATAATGTTTTCTTCACAGTCCTCTGGGCATTCTTCTAAAAAAGATTCATAGCAATAGATAGAGGATTGGGCTTTTTAAGTTGAGTTGTTTTTGTTTTGAATGCAAGTCTTGATAACAGGATATTAATGCTAGCTCCAAAAACCAAACACAGAAACGCGTGCAATCCTACAGCTTCCCGGGTGGAGCCTGCAGCATATCTGAGTGGGAGGCTGAGCTGTGCCAAGGAAGACCTTGCCACTCTTGAATGGGCATATTGGAAAAGCAGGTTCAGGGGACTGTGCCAACTGGCAGTCTGAGATCCCACGTCTCTGCTGGAGATTGTGCCAAAAAACTTCCCTCCTTGAGCTCCCTGGAAAAATCTCAGAGTGAGGGCCCCGCATGAAGGCTGATTCCAAACCTGTTGATCTCAGTGAGAGTCTTTCATCTGACCACTCTGGGCTGTAGATTAAGTTCAAATGCAAATAAAACAAAAAGAGTGAATCTTCCCAGGTACTTATTCACCCATGTCTGCCTTGTGCACATGTGGGTGACCTGTACTGTCCTTGTCCTGTACTTAGTACCCATCTGGCTCAGACGGCTTTGATCCATCTGCTTTTGCTCCTTCCACAAGAGGTCAAGTGGGACACTTGATAACAGGGTATGGTATCAACTCTGGGTAGCTGAAAGCAGAGCAATCTGAGTGGATGCCACTGACTTGAATTAACTCCTTCTGTTCACCTGAATAAATGGTTCAACCTTCAGTGCCATCTCCTTCAGTAATTAGGAGAGTCAATTTGTGTGTTGGACCCATACTTTAGCTCCATCCACCCATCTGTATGGAATCATTTTGACCAATTTGTTAGACTCCTAAGTTCACAGATATCTAAGGGTATGATTTCAAAAAGAGCCTGAGTGATTTAGGAACACTAGTCCCATTTAACTATGAAATCATTTGCCTTTTCTGGTGTCTACACTGAATACACTAACTCTCTCTGTTTCTTTGACAGAAAAAAGGGGTTTGGGAACAAACACTTGCTTTTGTTAGACACTCACCACTGGGAATGTATTTCCCCTATTAACAAGTAACCTTGTTTTAGAAAAGTCTCATAATTCACAATGAAGCTCAGAGGAGCTTGTTTCTCCAACCCAATCTCAACTGCCTAATCCCAACACTGTGTTTCACTGGGAACCTCTCCACTTTACACCTATTTACATTCCTGCCTTGCTTTATGGTAGTTTATGTCATTATATAAATATTGTTGATTGCTATAAAACAAGGTAAAACCACTGGAAAATGTCATAAAATAGATGTTTCCAAGTTTCCTAAACGGAAAAATATCAGGGAGGTTTTGATTTTTTTTTTTTTTTTAGCATTGGCATCTTAGTTTGATTTTGAACTGTGTGCCCAAGCTGCCTCCTGTTTGGTTATTTTATATGCTATTGCTTGTGTGAGTTATTTATCTGCAGGCAGACATCCTTCATTTTTTATGAGCCTAACATGGAAGCTAAGAAATCCCTGCATCCTGGTTTGACCAAAACAGAACTGCCATAATGTGCACGATGGTCTAAGCAAAGTCTGATTGGATTGGTCCCGAGCTCCCACCCACAAAATGAAGCGGTAGCAAAGTTTTGCAACAGTAAGGCTCTGGATATTAACAACACCTACAAGGCCCCAGGGAAAGTCAAGGGCAATAACTTTCTCTATGGACTCTGAACTTAAGACATTCTCTCTTCTGTAGTGAGACTTCTGCATACCTAACCGTGAAAATCTTATCTTCTCTCTTAAATATTGTACAGCAGGTAATTGATTATTAGAACTATATTTTATTGAAAAAACACTTAAATAACCTATGTTAGTTGATCATCATATATATCCTCAGTGATCAATTTTTATTTAGTTTCCCCTACCTTAGCTGTCTCATTCAGTCTATGCAGAGGATGTGTATTTTGGGGTGGGGGGAAGTTAATTTCCAGCATTGTTGTCAATCAGTTTCTGACATGGTCAATTGTTTCTGTGGCTAGGCTTTGGAACTAGCAGACATCAGCAGTTTTAAGGCAGTTTGGTGTCTCTTTTCTTCAACACATAGGGGAGAAATAAGCAAGGGGATGATGGGAACTGGTAACTGAACAAGCATCTGCTTCTCCGTGATAGAGGTGTTGCATGCCCCTTAGCCAACCTCTGGTCACAACATTCCTATTGCTTTTGTGATCGTCTTTCCTGCTATACGAGGTGCAAGCTTGGCAGTCCCATGAAAGCGATTCACCAATATCCCCACAAACCCAGCCTGCCCTGCCCCCCGGATGCACACAAACTGCAAAGTGAGTTCCTTCACAAAGTCCCTACCCCCAATTCTATCTGCTCCAAGTTCTACACAAAGCAGCATGCACAGTTCTTCTCTCTCTCTTTCACTCACTCACACACACTCACTCACACACACACACACACACACACACACACACACACACACACACACTGTCTCACATGCAGACACACACACACACTCTCACACACACAAACGCACCCTCTCTCTGATGCCATCTCTTCCTTTAGGCTTTCTTACACTTCCCCTTCTTTTCCCGTTGCTGGAACTTCCTGAGCCTCCGAGCCCACGTGTCCCTCCACTGTATCACCAGACTGGTTTTGTCTGCTATGATGCCACTCTGGTCAGGTGAGTCCTCATTGTTGCCCAGCAGTAAGTACTTCTTCATGGGTTTTACTTTGGGGCATTTGCATGCAATGTCCTTGGAGTGGATCCACAGGCTCTGGTCCCCACGCCGTATCCGGTTGCTTCCCTGTTTGTAGACAGAGATGATATTGACGGTGAACTTCCACCAATCAGCAGTTTTTTCGGCCTTCAGGATGTGGATCTGCACAGCTGGAAAAAGAAAGACAAGAAAAGATGTTAAGGGGCTTTTGTTGATCCCAATAGCAAAGCACTCTAGACAAAAACAATACTTCATCTCTAATGATTATCCTCAGAAGACATGGCCAAAGGTAAACGCTGCTTTGTGACAGCCACATGTGAAATTTGCTGCTGTTTGAAGCTAAGTTCCCAGAGACTAAATGTCCATGTTAGAAAAATGTTTTGAGTGTTGGTGCAGTCATGATGGTTCAGGATATATATGAGAGATTTTTTTTTCATTATATCTTTTATTGGATCGTCTGTATAGTTAGGAGGTTCTCAGGTCATGTTGCAAAAGTCATTGCTGCAGTAAGTTGCCATTTAGTGGGCTGTCTCTCTTACCCCTTGAAGGGGGTCCCACAGTGTCATAAGTAAGGCTTGTTAATGGGCCTTTTTTGGGGGGGTTACCCTGTTGCTCCTGAGGCATCTGTTTTGAGGACAAGTACAGGGCACTGGTCTCTTTGGCCATGCATGCAGGAGACTTTGAGACGATACAGTCTGAGATAGCAGAATCATCAGTTGGGGCCTGAAGTTAAATAGGGTTTGACTACACCTAGCTGACAAATGTAATTGAAGCTGACCTGAATCAAGCTGATCACTTGCCTTATGCCAGGAAAAGAAACTGCATGGAGATGCTGCTAGTTGGCCAAGGTGGAGTGGAGATGATAGCAGCAAATCCAGGGCTGAATCACCAGAGCCCTAATAAGGGAGCACTGTGTGGAGTCAGAAAGTTGCGGGCTAGTCTTTAGGGAAGGATTCATTCCTGGGACAATCTCCCATAGGCAGGAGTGAAAGCCCCATTAGAAGAAGGAGAGGAGAGCTCTACCCAGCAGAGCCGTGCACAGGCCGACTGGACGGGACTTCTCTGCTGCTCCTGTTGTGGGGTCAGGAAGCCTCTAGGTCCTGTCGTGGCTCCTGGCCCACTCCAAGCACTGGCGCTGCGCAGAACCCGTGGATCCACCACCTCCCAACAAATGTATGCAGGGATCTGATCCCTCACAGCCACCAGCATGCATCCTAGGCAGATTGGCTTGCACAGGAGACTTCCTAGGCTCAAATCCAGCTTAGCATTGCTCTTTCCTCAAGCCTTTAAGTGTTTGCCCTGCTCTTTGCTATGGTTGTTAAAATAATTAGCCTCATCTGCATGTTACTGTAGAGTAGAATAAGCCTGTGTGTAATGAATAGTGTGCAGAGGGGGCTATTTCAAAGGGCATTGAGTCAGGCTCATTTAGAGACATTTCTGTTTCACTTCCTACTCTTGCATTCCTAATGTTCACCATTTTTTCTGCTACTATCTCAAATTCAGTCTTCCCAGACATAAGGCTCAGAGTAAGTTTGGAGGAAACATGCACATCAGTGCTTGGAGATCTTGCGTCAGCAATGCCCAAAGCATAGCTCAAGTCTGTTCTCCAGTTTACTAGGAGGTAGTTCAACTGGCGTGGCCCACATGCACTGTTAATGTGAAAGAACCAGTGCTGATGTGCAGCAGCACCTCCATGACTTATGCTGCTTTACCTCTAGTGGTGATGTCCACAGCAAATTAGGGATGTCTGTTCATTTGACCTATCCAATTTTCCTTACTTTTCTTTCAAATGTTTCTGGGCATCCTGAAGTTTGAATTAATCAGACCCAACTATTATGGTAATGGTTTCCATGTTTGCCTCACCAAGGGATTTGATGCTTATTATAAACTTAAAATAATGAAATAAAAATAAAGTGGGCTTATGTTTGGCTGAAGTCATAAAGGTCATAATGGTGCCAAAATCTTCCCCTTCCACTTACAGAAACAGGGGCAGAAGGGAGGGAAAAATACACCCTCCAGAATGCTTGTTTTCCACAGACCGGGCTGGGAAGGAATCATAGAAAAAGAGGGCTGGAAGGGAACTCAGGAGGTCATCTAATCCAGCCCCCTGCTCAGGGCAGGATCATCCCACTTAAACCAACCCAGACAATTGTTTCGCCAACTTGCTCTTAAAAACCTCCTATGACAGCGTCTACAGGCCATCTAGGTAATCTGTTCCAGTGCTTAACAATCCTCATAGTTAGAAAACTCCTCCTAATATCTAAACTAAACTTCCACTGTAGCAATTTGAAGCTCATTACTTTGGGTTCTGTCCTCTGAAGACAGAGAGAACGATTGATCGCTATCATCTTTATAACAACCTTTGTATTTGAAGCCTGTTCCCTGGAAAGTGGGATGCATGCCACTGTAAGTTGTCTTCAGCATTTACTCAGCAAAACAGCTGCTTGTGACCCTGTTCTGAGAGGCCTGCCGTCTCACTGTACCAGAGGGTTAGAAGGGGTAGGGTGGTTGCAAATGCAGTGGCTGCAAACAGCAGACACAATCCTTACACACACACAGTATTTTAGAGCAATAATTCTAGAGTGGCATCAAGACCTGTCCTCTTGCAGCTCTTAACCGACAGGGCTCTACTATTTAAGCTAACTAGTCTCCTCATCTGAATGTCCTTCTCTTCACTACACACTCACCCAGTATATTGTTCAAAGCACAAAACCATTTACTCTTGAAAACTACAGTCTGGCTTTAGGAGTTCAAGAGAATATCCCTGCTATGCTCGAATATATAAATCCCACTCCCAAGAGTTAGGCATGAAGATTAAGGGACAGACACTGTCCTACATCTTTACACTGTCAGTTCCTGCCCTTTGTGTACTGTCTTCCTGGGCAGATATCTTTGTGGGTGTGGGCCACAAAAACAGCGGATTATGCTGCCGCGATTGGCAGAGGAGGAGCTGGTGCTCCCTGGGCACCACACAGCTGCCCTGGGCACAGAGCTGTACTGCTACACCTCTGGTTGCCACAGACCGGCTCCACTCCATCCCCACTTTGATTTTCTGAATGAACATGGATTTTCTCCATAGCCCTTACTTTAGAACAAAAATGAAGCCCTCATGCACAGTTAGCACTAATTGTGCAGCACCCACTAATGCTGCAACTTTGCTGTACCATGTAATACTGGCATAAATAGCCAACTGGTCTCCTGGGCTGCGTGCAAGACCATCCTTAGGGCAATGAGAGTCTGGCATGTCAGGCTGTGAGCAATTTGCATGACCTGTTATGGAAACTACATGTTGAATCTGGCACGGGCTCTCTGAAGTGCTCTGTGGGCCTTTTGTATACAAATGGTCAGTATTTAGGGAATATGCTGTGGGCCTGATACAAATAGGATGGGCCCAGGTGCCAGAAAGATCCAAGCCTTCAAGAGCAATTAGTCCTGGCTCTAGAATGACATACTGCAATGGAGTCATTCCTAAACTGTGGTTTATGGCTCACGGGTGCTTGGTGAGGCCAAAGCAAGTTATCTACAGAACACACTGGGTACGCCATTTTCAATTAAAAGTTTGACAACAAGTTTGTAGAGTGGTCAGTGAAAAGTGCTGGTGCAATAAGAAAGAAGGCTTCTGTGCCACTTAGTGAGACTGCCTTCACTGGAGCTGTCCAGGACTGCTTGGGGAGATGTCACGTGTGGCTGAGTCATTCATTCTGTCAGTCCTGTTGCTGAGCATGAGAAAGGAGATGCGAGGCATCTTATGGTGCCATCAGCCACAAGTAACTGGTGGGTAGCCCATAGGCAGAGACTTTGGGCTTGGTGTCCACCCTGCCTGCCTCATCTCTGTGTCTGTCATTCATTTAGTTAAAGATTTTGTGACATGCTTTGACTTGCAGGTGAGTGAGATTATCTCAACCGGAGGATGCAAGATGAGCAGCCAGTTTAAGGATGACCAAGTGGCTCAGAGCTTTGCATTATCTTGCAGAGTGGTTTAAGACTTTGATCTCTTTACAACCTTAAACCTGTTGCATTACGTGTCAAACAAGTATTGTGGCTTCCACCAATCCTCAGCATATATCTATAAATACCAGCCAATCAAGTCTCAAGCTCTGTTGAATAGTCTTGGACTAGAAGAGATTCTGCAGTGGAATAGTAAGTAATTCACCTAGTCCTAGATCTGTCTGAGGCCCCTGCTGGATGGGAAGGAAGGTTCTACCAAGTCAGGATTGAGATATATTCACAGAACGAGGGTATATTCCCAGCAGGGGTGTGATACGACAACACCACTCTAAGCACTAGCCAAGCAGGACCTTTGTTAGCACAAGAAAATCTGACGGTAGGCCAGTCAATGACAGAGGGCATAACAAATTGGACATTTCCCAAGCATGCTGCTTACAGGTTTGAATACGGTAAATGCTGGTGTGTTGTAAACCCATCCTTCAAGAGGGAGGCAGCAAATTTGGCCTTCTTAGGTAGGCTGAGACAAATTCTAGTAATGCATCCCTTGCAAACAGGCATCTCTTAGATGAGAGAGGACACACCTGAGGTTAGATGAATCAGCTGCAGAGATAGTAGGTGGCTGGAAAACAGTCTAGACTAGAACATTGTACCCTTTATTAACACAGGACCCCAACAGCATTAACAGCACAGCTTTGTAGTACACACCACCAGCTCCTGCCAATGTGTTACAACTGATTAGAAAACATGCTTTTAAAAATAGGTGCTTTGTTAGATATGGGACTAAGATGCATCTGGGTCCAAATGATCAGATTCCAGGGTATTCAAGAGTCTTGGTTTGGTTCACTTTTGGATGGGAGAGTTTTATACTTATTCTGGGCAGACCGATTAAATGCTCTAACAGGTCTTTCCTACTTCTGAGTGAAATGCTTACAATGATGAGGGATAGTAAGCAACTTTGAATTTGAATTTAGGCCCAAATTCTATTAAAGCTGGGTGCTTCTTCACAGCCACGGACTTGATGCAGCCCTGTCTCCATTTGGATGCCAACTGAGTGATTAGACACAATGTCCGTACAGTGAAATCATCCCCCATTAAAGCCTGGTAGCAATATTCAAAGGGCTTTATATTGCCATGGACAAATGCAAAATACAAAAGTTTTGCAGGGTATACATAAAACTAATCCTCTATTTCATGAGGATGTGGCCGTACAGTCTTGTCAGAT